GGCTGGGCCTGTAGTTGTGGGAAGGGCTTGGGTCACCTTTATAACAGCATCCAATCCTCTCCCACTTTACCGTGGTTGGTCTGGCGAGTTGAACTTATCTGTATCCCATTGGTCCAGTCTCCTGGCTTGTTGCCCGTTTTTATTCACGTTTGCCAATTGCTGAACTTCCCCTCCCACGTGGTTTACCTGTACGATCACTTGACAGAGGTCCAGCTGCTGCTGGGCGCCTGTTTTTTCCATGAGGTCTGATCGCTACACAGTGAGTTGCCATGCCTGACCTCTGGCCCCCTTGCTGGGATGTCTACTACTCACGTGATGCTCAGCCAGCTGGTATGTGGTCTACCTCGCTCATGGTGCTCAGGCTGCTGGTATGGTGTCTGCCACTCTCATGGTGCTCAGCCAGCTGGTCTGGTGTTTGCCACTCTCTTGGTGCTCAGCCAGCTGGTCTGGTGTTTGCCATTCTTATGGTGCTCAGCCAGATGTTATGGTGTCTGCCACTCTCATGGTGCTCGGCCAGCTGGTATGGTCTCTGCCACTCTCATGGTGCCCTGCCTGCTGGTCTGACGTCTGCCGCTCTCATGTTGCTTGGTCAGCTGGTTTGGTGTCTGCGGCTCACATGGTGGTCAGCCGGCTGGTATGGGGTTTGCCATTCACATGGTGCTCAGCCAGCTGATATGGGGTCTACCACTCGCATGGAGCTCAGCTGGTATGGGATCTAGCACTCTCGGTGCTCAGCCAGCTGGTAGGTTTACCATCACCAGTCTTTTTATTGGTCAAACCTCTAGGGTGTTTGATAAGTCACGCAGCCAGGGAATTGTGGAATTGTGTGTTATATATTCCCATATGGTGTGTAATAGTTAATCCCCCCATAGTAAGTTTTCTATTTTGATACATGAAGTATGTATAAATAAATAAATAATAATAAAAAAAAGTTAAAGGACACAACCTTTAATGTAACATTGGGAAAAAAAATTATGCTCCGAGTGCATTATGTTTTCACATTTCATAATCCGGTATATGTCATGGGTGCATATTTCTCACACATGTTAAATTATTACGGTATGTCACTTACTATACTAATAGCTGGTTGTCATTGTATTGTGGGTATATGTGACTTAGCAACGTGTATTTTGCTATTTCTAGTGACTCTCCCCTGCTCGCTCGTCTGGTGTATGCCTATCCCATTCACTTAATTGGCGTTTTTCAGCGTTGAGGTTCGCTCTATTACGCCTCTTAGGTACTCGCTGGTATACTCTTGTTACTGGGTCTCTGTCCCTTGACCTGGATCGCCAGATGGCTCTGAACCTTTGGTCTTTTCTGGGTTGGTCATGGTTTTGTACTTATTTTTACCATGATTCTATACCCTCCTCGGTTTCCCTTCTCTATAGTGTAGGCCCAGGTTTTGCTTATCTGGGTGGCATGCTTCATCCAACCATTGTCCTGCCGGGGAGCTCGTCCTTCCTGGCAGCATTTGCCTTTCTTGCCTCTTGTCCAACTGTGGGGTAGGTCACTTTTACTTATTCCGGTCCGTATACGTTTTCAGTCGCTATTCTAAATGGATCCACTATCTGGCCACACAGAGGCATACGTTCTCAGACTCTAGTCTAATAGGGTCCACGACCCGGCCGCGCAGAGGCATACGTTCTCAGACTCCATTCTACATGGGTCCACGTTAGCAGATAGTACTGGTTGTTAGGGATCTAGGTGCTCACTCTGGTAGGTTTCTGGCCACTATGCCATAGTCTAGTGGTCCCACAAGGCCAACACCCATCCTCATACTCAGAGGTACCCTCATACTCAGAAGACAACGCCACCGGCCCAATGCATAGTTATTCACCTCGCATTGTTGCATAGGGAGGGCCTAACTTGTCACTCCCATTCTTTCTTATGCTTTAGTAGACACCGAGAGGCCATCACCTGGCCACCCGCATTTTGGTGGCCTCTACCTTCCTCTCATGCCGCTTGGCAACTAGCAGTGCCTCACCTGTCACCCTCAGTAGTTAAATTCTTCGCCACTTGGCAATAGCAATATATGGATCAAACTAATGGCGGCTTTGTATAGTCGTATGTCTCGAGTTCCCAAGTTGCTAGGGTACTGTCTCTACCCAACACCTCATCCACTTATACATTACATATACCAGAACTGGTTAGGGATTTGTCAGGCATTCGTGACTTATCCAAGTAATTTTGAAGTATGGTAGAACGAATATATTTTGTATGGTACACTTCTTTTTGCCCTCTTTCCTACAGGCCTAATGCCTTGTCGGTTCTGGCACACCACAACCGACTGCTGTTATTAACTATGATGTCTATTACTAATTATATGTTATCTTACCCTTACGGCAATATTGCCCCGACCACAAATATATATGGCCTATATAGTCTTATTTTAGATGGCTTGCCCAAATTGCTGATCACATTAAGTGTTTGAGATCAGAATTTGCAATAATATGTCAATTTAATAAAACATTTATAGCACAAGCGGTATCATCTAGAGCCTAGATGTACAAATTCAACATCTTTTTAAATGAATATGAATTACACATTTGCCAAATTTATTCATTCTAATACAGTTAAAATTAAAATATCATACTCTGGCAATATTGTATTAATATACAAATCAAGAAAAAAAGTATCTAAAAAAGAAATTAGAACAATTATCCATTTATATCTTCCACATGGTGAGCTGTCTGTTCTGTTGATAATACACGTTACAGGAATTTCGCTCTTAGAACATCAGTATAGTTCGGATGCTAGAACAAAAAAAAAAAAAATAGGTTAAAATAAGCAAATAAATAAGACATAATATGTGTTTTGCGTATATGCATATCTATGGTTTTAAAGGAACAATCCATAAAAAAACAAATATATATATTGAGTTTTGTGTATATATACACATATATATGTTTATGTATATTCCAAGTATGTAATAAGTCTGCACTCACGGTCTTCTTTAAATAAATTTCTTTTATTGCATCAAAAAGGGTCCAGGGAGATCAACGTTTCCTGATGAAAGTCCCAGTTAGGGACTGAAACGTTGATCTCCCTGGACCCTTTTTGATGCAATAAAATAAATAAAAATCCTTGCACCGGCCCTGTATAGCATCTGCAGCTACTGCCTGCCCACCCCTTCATCCCCTTAACAGACTTTCTTATCTGTGCCAGGGAATAATCATAGCGATTTGAGCTATATTTAAGCTTACTGAGAAGAAGACATACTCTGTGCACAAGCACCTGCATTTGAATTTAGCCCCACAGAGCTAAACTAGAAGATGGTGACAGCCAGGGAGGTATATCAGCATTCATTTATAAAACTGTCAATTTCTACAATGTCATATCTTCATGGGAGTTACTTTTGGAATGGTGGAACTTTTCTTCATATTTGTATACTGTACTATGTTTTTATAAAAATATTTGTTGTTAAAAGTTCTGATTTCTTTTAAAATCTGCACTTTTTAAAAAATGAAACACACTTGAGACTCTTGTCGCAAATAAAGAATTTCAGCAAGGTAAGGTGCTTTATATGTTTGGACTAATCTTTTAACCGTTTCACGATGTCCGACGAAAATTTTTTCGTCATGCTTGTGCTACCGTTAATTGCTGATAACGTTCAGAGCCAAGGGAGGATGCTGCAAATAATTCATGGGAAATTGAAGAGTTTAGTGTTACGAAATTGAAAAAATAAAATAATTAATAACATTATTTAGTTAAAGTTCTTGTGTAAAAAGTTTAAAATGCTTAGGAAATTCAGTGCAGAGGCGGATTCAGAATTCTGTCCGCAAAAGAGAGTTGACAGACAGTGCCTCAGAGTTTGATGCAGGTTGATGCAGGGTGACAGTGATTAATATCTTCTTTAAGGAATGGTAGGCCTTTGGTGGGGTAGTATTTTAACAACCTGTTAAAATGCTACATATTCACCGTAGAACCAGCATCAAAATTGAATTTGAAAAAAACTGAAATGTCTGTCTCAAATTTGCCAATTCGACATCCACATATATTTGAAAGAGGTACACATGGGGTTTTGCTGTACTAAGACGACATAGCTGAACAACATATTAAGCGTTATACTGCTGTAGCACACATAAGAATTGCAAAATATACAGCAACATCTCCAAGTGTGTGTGTCAAAAAGGCAGAAAATATGGTTACTATTACTAGACTTGGTACAAACTAGCAAATAAACTTGTACTCAGCAGATGTAGGTGAACACTAAATTTTGTTCAGGAATAGCACACATCAGCTTTAAGAAATACCCATCAAAAGATCCTTGTTATAAGTTTGTATGTCAAAACACTGGAAAACACAATTTCACTAGAATATTTAGCAGAGATTGGCGGTGAAATGGCTATCTAAAAAGTGTCAAAATAACCTTAAGTAAATAGCTTGTGATGTCTATTTTATATACATATATACTTTTGTGCGGCAATTTTGTTTTCTTTGATGACTTTTAAAGGATCACTATAGTGTCAGGAAAATAAAGTGGTTTTACTGCCCCCAACCTCAGGATCCCCTCCCGTGGCACTGAAGAGTTAAAACCCCTTCAGCAGTTTACCTTATTCCAGCGCCGGCCTCCCTCGGTGCTGGTGACATCTCCTCCCCGTCCGATGTCAGCTCCCCCGTCCGACGTCAGATTTCTCAATGCTTTCCTATGGACGCTCTGCATGATGGATGCAAAATTCGCATCCAGCGTGGCAGATGCGCCTCTAGTGGCTGTCCGCAATTTGCAATTATAATTTGCATAATAATTTGGAACCAGGTGTATAAGAAATTGAGAGTTTATATATAGATATGTCACATCAAATTAAAGCTCTTTTTGTCCTTTAAAAAATGGAATTGCAAAAATTGCTTGCAAGACAAGCTTTTGAAGCGGTGTCCTTAAAGTTAATTTAGGACCCAAGGCATAATAATGACAACAAATGTATTTACTTCATAGCCTTCACCACACCCATGTATGGAAGCAAGCATGATCAAGCAGATTATGTTTTACTTTCCTTTGCCACATAATTCTAAATCTGCCATAGTAAGCTTTGGGGGAAATTAATAATCTTCTAATGAAAGTATAAATTAGGTGTGCTTTAGATACTGTATTTTTCTTGCATTGAAGTGTGCCTTGGGCCAGAAAAGTTGGGAACCACTGCTCTGTACACCACTCTGGGGTTTGCAGAATATTTAGTCAGTCACAAGCTGCCAAAATAACTAATAATTATTTGACTCTAGTCACCAAACCAACTTTAGCTTAATGAAGCAGTTTTTGTGTATATATTATGCCTCTTACGTTTCCCTGCTAAATTCCCTGTCATTTTGGAGTTAAATTGCTTTAGTTTCTGTACATGCAGCCGTAGCCCTATCTCTCCTGGCTGTGACTTACACAGTCTCAACTGACTCAGTCACAACTTTCAAACAGATGTAACTTACTTTAAAGGTTTTTATTTTCTGCTCTGTAAATTGAACGTTAATTACACACAGGAGGCTCCTGCATGGTCTAGCAAGTTAATAACAGAGCAGAAGTTAAGAAATTTTAAATTAAACAGAATTTGCAACAAAGGAAGTGTAAGCATTAGATGACTCTTTACAGGAAATTGCATAGGAAGGCTGTGTAAGCCACATGCTGGGAAGTGTGCCTAGGGCTGCATAAACAAAGTGATTTAACTCCTAAATAGTAGATAATTTAGGAGTGAGACTACAAAGGCATGATCTAAACACCAACACTGCTTCATTAGGCTAAAGTTGTTTTGGTAATTATAGTATCCCTTGAATTTTTATTATGTCTATTTAATAATAGCCATTTGTTTGTTGGTTTCAAGTAAACAATTTAGTTATAACTCCTGCATAGAAATACACAAAATTGAATCCTGTGCTCAAACTCCCACTACTACAGGGTGGCAGCAATGACCATAGGCACATAACATCACCAATACATACAAAGAAAAAAAGTTACCTTGCACTAGCCCAAATCCCTGTGCATATTTAAATAAATGAAGGTTATTTAGTAACTCCAATAGCTATTAGTTGTAAATCCACCTGCCACATCAAGGCAAACCTCTTAGGTGGGTCCTACACTAACAATTATTCACCTTGCTTCCTTGAGCTTCAGGCAAAGAAATCTCTAATGAGACAGAGAGGGGTACTTTTGTGTATTTGTGTGCTATGCTCGTTGCTGCCGCCCAGGAGTAGTGGGAGCTTGAGCACAGGACTTATTTTTGTGTATTTGTATTTCCTTTTTGCATCACACAGTAATGTTACAGTGCTGCCGCCCACCCTGTGTGTTCCCTATTCTGAGTTAATACGTTTTCGAAAATACCTCTCTCTGTTTCATTAGAGATTTATTTGCAGAAGCTCAAGGAAGCAAGGTGAATTGTTAGTGATGTTTGCCTTGACGTGGCAGCTGGGCTTACATCTAATGGCCATTGGAGTTACTAAATAACCTCCATTTATTTAAATAGGCATATGGATTTGGGCTAGTGCACAGGTAACTTTTTTTTAACTACTACAACTACTACTGTCTATGTAATGACCTACGTTTATGGGAAATGTAAATTAGTTGTTCTACAGTAGACAGCAAACTACAATTACCCTCACACACACAAAGTCACGACCTCATACACAGCACAGCCTTGAAAAAAAAAAAAAAATGAACACACCACAAGCAGCTCCCCACTCACATATGCTCCCAGACACAAACATATGCATTCACAGGCACATACAAGACTACTCAGTGTATATAACCGTGTGTAAATCAGTGTGTCCATAACTTTAAAAAAAATCTCTTCTCTGTATGCTTTTTACATGCTGAATGCCTAGTGCAAAGGACAGAGCGTATAATAATGATTGACAGAGCTAAAATGGAGGTGCCCAGTTGAGTAGCAGGATAAAAAAGGTCTTTATTTATACATTTATTATAAGTCATAAATACATATTTGTTAAAGGAACACTACAGTTACAACAACAACTTTCTCTTAATGAAGTCACTAATAAGCCTGGAGGCCTCAGCGGTTTAAAAAAATGTTTTCATCTTTAAGTTGTCTTCCTGGCCCCTGTCTGCTCAGCCCCTTTGTCTCTTCCTCCAACTCTGTCTCTGCTACTAATGCTCATCACTGACCATAGAATGCATAGCTAGCAATGAATTAGGTTTTTATGGGGTCTGGAGTGTTCCTTTAACCATAGTGGATTAGTAAACATAATTTTAAAAATCCTGGTAAATGAAAGATTGCCTTTAATAAAATGCTCAATATGAATGTGAATCAGAACATCTGAAATATTTACACCAATAAACAATGGTAGAAAAACTGGATCTATTTATAAAGCTTGTATGTGACAAGATCATCTTTGGGATGATACAAGAATTTAATGTTTCTAGTATGCTGGTAGCATAGAAACATAGAAACATAGAATGTGACGGCAGATAAGAACCATTCGGCCCATCTAGTCTGCCCAATTTTCTAAATACTTTCATTAGTCCCTGGCCTTATCTTATAGCTAGGATAGCCTTATGCCTATCCCACTCATGCTTAAACTCCTTCACTGAAAGGTTATTCCATGCTGAAAGCTTATTTAATGCATCCACTACCCTCTCAGTACAGTAATATTTCCTGATATTATGTTTAAACCTTTGCCCCTCTAATTAAAGACTATGCCTCTTGTTGTGGTAGTTTTTCTTCTTTTAAATATAGTCTCCTCCTTTACTATGTTGATTCCCTATATGTATTTAAATGTTTCTATCATACCCACACCCCCGTCTTTCCTCCAAGCTATACATGATGAAATCCTTTAACCATTCCTTGTAAGTTTTATCCTGCAATCCATGAACCAGTTTAGTTGCCCTTCTCTGAACTCTCTCTTAAAGGACCACTATAGTGCCAGAAAAACAAACTTGTTTTCCTGGCACTATGTGGTCCTTAGGTCCCCCCCACCCTCATGGCCCCCTCCCACTGGGAACCCTTTCAGCCACTTACCTATTTCAAGTGCCGGACTCCCTCAGCGCTGGGGAACTCTCCTCCTCCTGCCGACGTCAGCGTCGAATGCGCATTGCGCGACAAGAGCCGCGTGCACATTCAAACCGCCCATAGAAAAGCATTACTCAATGCTTTCCTATGGACATCAGCGTCTTCTCACTGTGATTTTCACAGTGAGAATCACTGAAGTGGCCTATAGTGGCTGTCAGGGAGACAGCCACTAGAGGCTGGATTAACCCTCAGTGTAAACATAGGGTTCTCTGAAATTGCTATGTTTTCAGCTGCAGGGTTAAAACTAGAGGGACCTGGCAACCAGACCACTTCATTGAGCTGAAGTGGTCTGGGTGCCTATAGTGGTCCATTAAGTATCAATATCCTTTAGACATACAGTCTCCAGTACTGCGTACAATACTCCAAGAGAGGTCTCACCAGTGTTCTGTACAATGGCATGAGCACTTCCCTCTTTCTACTGCTAATACCTCTCCCTATACAACCAAGCATTCTGTTAGCATTTCCTGCAGCTCTATTAAATTGTCTGCCTACCTTTAAGTCACCTGCAATACTTACCACTTAATCCCTTTCCTCAGATGTTGAGGTTAGGGCTCTATCAAATATTCTGTACTCTGCCCTTGGGTTTTTACATCCAAGATGCATTATCTTGCACTTATCCACATTAAATGTATGTTGCCACATCTCAGACCATTTTTTTAGTTTACCTAAATCATTTGCCATTTGGCTTATCCCTCCTGGAATATCAACCCTGTTGCATATCTTAATATCATCAGCAAAAATATATACCTTACCGTTAAGACCTTCTGCAATATCACTAATAAAAATATTAAAGTGAATAGATCCAAGTACAGATTCCTGAAGTACCCCACTAGTGACAAGACCGTGCTTTGAATATACTCCATTGACTACAACCCTCTGTTGCCTGTCACTAGGCCACTGCCTTACCCATTCAACAATATTGGAATCCAAACTTAAAGATTGCAGTTTATTGAGAAGTCTTCTATATGCAACAGTGTCAAAAGTCTTACTGAAATCTAGGTAAGCAATGTTTATTACACCACCCTGATCTATTATTTTAGTTACCCAATCAAAAAAAAATCAATAAGATTAGATTGGAATGATCTCTCTGAAGTAAACCCATGTTGTCTCTGATCTTGAAATCCATGTGATTTTAGATGTTCAACAATCCTATCCTTTAACATGGTTTCCATTACTTTCGCCACTACTGAAGTAAGGCTTACTGGCCTATAGTTGCGCGACTCCTGCCTACTACTTTTCTTGTGAATGGGTACAACATTTGCTAACTTCCAATCTCCTGCTAAGAATGATTGATTAAATAAATCTGTTATACATAGATTAAAAGATATTTAGTAACATCCCCTTGATGTTGGGCAAAAGGAACATCCCCAGGACATACTTGGAAACCAGAGTAGTCTGAATGTACTGTTCCTTGTTAAATACTGTGTTGTTATTAATATATGAGGTTAAACATTTCTTCCATTGCCTCCAGTATGACTGCCACAATGAATGTGAGGGGAGAGATATGTATCTTCCCACTCGATATATCATTTGTCACACTCAGTAAAGTGCACACAACACACCTCTCCTAATATGGACAATTAAAGGACAGATCTACAGTGGAAACAAAAGGATACACATTTCATAGTGTAATATGCATAGTAAAAGTGCTCCACACCACACAGACAGGTTTATTCACTAAAATGAGAATTCAAAGTGAATTTCCAATTTAAGGTGATTGTACTCTTAAGCAGCAAAAGTATGTTCAGTAAGTAGCATTGGTAGGAGTGTATCTAAGTAACACTCTTTGTATTCGATATGGAAAAGGTCTCTGAATTTATTCCTTAAGTTCTTTATCTAAGAAGTTAATAAAAGGACCACAATTATGGAAGAATCGTTAGAACTGGATGATTCCAGGCAATCCGTTCAGAAGGCATTAATTAGTTTAGACTGAAGTAAGGCTTTTGATGCAGGCTCCAAACTCCAACATATTTTATAGACTCTGGAAAAATTTGGTTCTGAATACCCTGAAATAACTGTATTTTTCAAATCATTGTCTACCCCTAATTTCCTATAAAAAGGCACCTGTTTATAGATCTGTTTACACTTGATCATAAGAAGAAGAAAAAAAAAACAACTTCTCATGAGCTGAAAGAATGTGATATTATGTGCACAATAAAAAATGAGTTATACCAATCATATGAAGTGAAAATGCTGTCTATTCTTTGTGTTACTATTATTTACAAATAATAGAATTAATACTATGGATTTAGTGCTCCTTATTACCAACCTCATCCCAGAACGAAGAAGATTAAATCCTTGATTAATCTCATCAAATGGTAATGTGTAGCTCACCAACCCATCCAAATTAAATTTATTTTCCATGTATTCAGCAATCAGCCGAGGAACACTTTCCTTACTCTTCCAACCTGTAAAATGTAATGGATTGCAAAGATGATTTATCTGTGATTACAAGGTGGGACAGCTATAGTTTCATTAATTAAATGGTTTACCATGGGAATATAAGGCAGCTTACATATTATATGAAAAACTAATAGCATACCACTGAATTATTTGCATGTGACAGTTGATAGTTGGGCCTCCAGCTGAAATGGCTCTTTTTCTGGATAAGAATAGAAATGTATACCCTGTCCAAATAGCACCTGCCCATTCCCACTGTGTATCCTGTCCACTTAGCACCATACCTGTATGTTTGTTGGCCATTTCTCTTGTGCCGATGGAGAAAAAGTCTATGGCAGCACAAAAAAGCATAACAAGGGGCAAGAGCACTTTCTTATATATCCTAAGTTATTTCCTTACTCCACTGCCTATGCAAACATTTATTTATTGTTTTTAGCTTTAGCACCGTTTGATAAGTTACCTGGGTCCCCTGTGCTGTATCTAGTCTTCTCCAGCAAAAGAAACCTCATGTCTGTATTATGTAAAGTAGGAACCATGCAGGACAAGCTTTGCCCATCTTTGCTCTATAGAACAATATGGTTTCTCTGTTAAAGAAGAGTGGGTAAAGGGGATACCGCCATCGCAAACCAGCAGGACCAAGATAAGTCAAATTGTGCTAAAATGGTTTGACATCTTGTGGAGAGCAAAAAACTGGGCGCAAGAGAATACTTAGAACGGGCAGCAGCTGAAATAGCCTGCCCTTCGGTGGATCCCCGCTCAAATCTCAAGCTAGTTTTAGCTCATCTTGTGCCATTACAGAGAGAACATCTCTGAAACATATCAGACTGGTCCCACCCATACGGGCAGTCCAGATCCAGGTTTTACATCTTACCAGCACTAGGACACTCCGGGCATTATAACCCCTACTATGGGTTTAAGTGGTTATGGTGCACGGAGTGGTCCTTTAAACGTCCACACATCGTTCCATCCACACTTGCATTGATCCTTACCATGAAGAAAATGTTGTACAATTTATTTTTAGTAAAATTGCAAATAACAAATGAATACACACACCCCAGAACCCTTCTTGATGCTTCCCAATGCGGTCATATAGGTCCACTGAAACATATGCATGGCCTTTAGAAGATACAATTATCTATGTTGATCGTTAGGGTGTTTCTTTCAAGAAGAACCTCCCTAAAAGAACAACTTGAAATATATGAAAGTGAAAACTCAACTCAATCAGTTCTGAAATGTCAACAAAAATACTGTCAGGGTTGTTCACTAAAATGAGAACTGCCAGGAATTCAAAGTAAATTGAAAATTTAAGCCCAAAATATTTAAAGATACACTATAGTTATCAGAACCATTACAGCTTAATGTAGTGGTTCTGGTGTCTACAGTCTGTCCCTGCAGGCTTTTGAATGTACACACTGCCTTTTCAGGCTTTTATATGTAAACACTGTCTTTATATTGTTGCCTAAGAACACCTCTAGTGGCAGCTACCCAGATGGCCACTAGAGATGCTTCCTGTGTCAGTGCTGCACAGTGTGTAGCATTGGCATTCAGCATCTCCACACCCTACATGGAGAAGTTAAATGTTCCATGTAGAGATGCATTGGTTCAATGCATTTCTATGAACAGATGCTGATATGAACAGTGCAGCGTTTTGCGCAATAGTCTTCCAATGCTTTCCTGTGAGAAAGTGTTAAATTGGCTAAAATCATCATGTTTAAAGGACCACTATAGTGCCAGGAAAACCTACTCGTTTTCCTGGCACTATAGTGCCCTGAGGGTGCCCCCACCCGCCGGGCTGGATGGAGAGGAAAGGGTTAAACTTACCTCTTTCTCCAGCGCCGGGCAGGAAGCTCTCCTCCTCCTCTCCTCCCTCTTCTCCTCCTCTTCGGCTGAATGCGCATGCGCGGCAGGAGCTGCGCGCGCATTCAGCCAGTCCATAGGAAGCATTCACAATGCTTTCCTATGGACGCTGGCATCTTCTCACTGTGATTTTCACAGTGAGAAACGCGGAAGCCCTCTAGTGGCTGTCAATGAGACAGTCACTAGAGGCTGGATTAACCCTAACATAAACATAGCAGTTTCTCTGAAACTGCTATATTTATAGAAAAAAGGGTTAACCCTAGATGGACCAGGCACCCTGACTACCTCATTAAGCTGAAGTGGTCTGGGTGCCTATAGTGGTCCTTTAATGATCTCAGTCATTGAGGTGGAGTCAGGCAGAGCCAGCCGTGGTGAGACCAGACTAGATACACTTCCAGTTCAGCTACTCTGGCCTTGAATTTTCAGCAACTTTGATTTTCCAACAATTATCACTTCATTAAATAACTGCATATTTTTAAAACAGTGATAAGACGAGTACTCATGCCATTCATGACACAGTTATTATTGGTGTTTGCAGTTCTTTAAAGTTGCACAAAAACACAGTTGAATTAGGCATAATTTGGTGATGAAATGGCCAAGACAAAAAGATTCAAAATGTTCACAAAAACCAAGTAAAAAATGGCGCTAAGACAATTTGTACAATACAATATTAATACAAAGCCCCTGGAGCCTTGAAAAAGTCGGCGCAAGACCCTGGGACTTAACTATACATTTGTGAGGAGGAGACACTAAAAGAGGACTTAGATGCCTGACAATTGCTTTTAATTTTGGAGTGTCAATAAAGGATTTTACTGTGATCAAAGCCCCAAGCCTATACATATTACCTAAGGTGCCAGCACAGTTCAGAGCAGACTCAATTGCTCTACTCTTGTGAGTTATTTTGGTTTACATTCACTTCATTTACTGCATATGCATATTGCCCTATGAGTCTGGTTTTTTCCTATTTGAGAAACACATTGAAGTCTTGATAGAAGCAGAACATAAGAGCCACTTATAAGTTAGTCATTAAAAGTCTGTTTCTATTATCACACGATACACTAATCAGTGTGGATTTATCACAAGTGCACTTTGACACCTTGGTTATTTTTTATTATCACATTTAACCTATGTTTTACACTTTCTTTTATGTGATATCAATATTATTCATTCATTGATTTATAGTATTAAAGGCACAGCGCACTTTATTTTTTATTTCAAAAAGATTCAAAGGAAATACAAATGGTATACTATGAAGGGAGTAAAATGCTTTTGGAGGTTGCTATTTTGTCAAAATTGAAATGGGCCCAGAAAATCAATTGCTCATAAATGCAAGTCTGAACACTGTTGGCACATATGTAATTTGACCCTATAACATTCTGAATAAGACCAGTACAGTCTTCAATATCTATAACTGGAAGTTCCAGGGCTTGCAAGAAATTGTGATATCGTTTGGGAAGGTAATTGATAGAATTATACCACAAAGCTCTTTGGGAGATTTTCCCTGTCAAATTTAATAGAATGGTCATTAGGATGATTGTAGGGAAACTATAGCGCCAGGAAAACAAACTCGTTTTTAGTTTTTCCTGGCTCTATAGCTTCCCCCTCTGTTAAGTCCCCACCCCCCTGTGGGGCAGAAGAGCTTATTAACCCCTTCTGTCACTTACCTGGGTCCAACGCTCCTCCCCCACCGTCAGCCGGCAGGGGAGACTTAATGCGCATGCGCGGCATTAACCGTTCTCGCATTAGGATTTCCCCTTGGGAAAGCATTATTCAGTGCTTTCCCATAGGGATTTCGATGATGCTGGAAGTCCTCATGCATAGCGTGAGGACGTCCAGCGACATTTAGGTGATCAAAGGTTGCCTTCGAGCCTGGAAGTCCCTCTACTGCCTGCCTGGTAAGAGGTTAACCAATAGACGTCAAACTGAATGATTGCTTTCTGATTTATTTATTGGATGCTATATCTCGAGCAGCTGACTCATTTTATTGGGTTTGGCTGCAAGAATTTCAGCTGGCATTGACTCCAATAAGTCCATAATATCAACTCAAACCATTTTATATATTTATAAAATGTTTTCGGTTTACAGAAGGCCATTATATTATATATTTACAAAAATTAAATAAATAAATATATACAGTTGTAATAAAAATTATTCAACCCACAGTGAAAAATCAGGTTTATTGTCAAAATGTTTTATTTTTTTATTTATTTATTTTTTTTGTCGTGCATGAGACAAATAACATAACTGGCTGTTAGGACAGTGAATAACAATATAAGAGGTTACCAATATTGTAGCATAAACATGACAGGGAATCCTCACTTTTTTTTTTTTGGCTTGAATCAACATTAGACTTATCAGGGTGAAGTCCCCAGGAGGCCTCCAGCTAGCTGTATGAGGAGAGAAATAAGGGGTAGGCTGAAGGGAAAACAGTAAGACAAAAAAAAACACTTGTAAGCTGAGCTTTGTCAGACCCTGAAATTGCAAAAGGGTTTAGCAGAGGACTCAGGGCTCATCCTACATTAGTCTGAGATTTATTGTTACCCTACACCAACCAAGGGGATATTAGAGTCCTCCATCTCAGGTAGGAACGACAGGCCTCATGGGAGTCGGCAAACAAAGCCAGGTGCCACGGTCGGTGAGTGTGCAACAGACCTTGTGTTGGATTGTAACGGCACCCTCCTGCTTGCTGCTTTGTTCCTGTACGTCTTGCTCTGCCGCCGTGTTGGGGCCTGCATTGTTGCCGCTGCTGTAGACTTGTGCTGCAAGGTAGGTATCCGCTTCTGAGAGGAGTAGGCAGTTGGTTGTGTCTGGGCATGTTGGTGCATTCTTTCCTCGAGCTTACGCCAGAATTCACTGAAGATTCTATCCAGCCTGGACTCCAAATCCTGTTTGCCCTCTGTGATGCCGGGAGCATACGTGGCGTCTACCATCTTAGGGGAGTCCCCGGAATGGAGTAAGTGGCAAAGTACAGCGTCGCACAGAGCGGATGATCGGCTATTTCACCCATGAGTTAAAGCCAAAGCTTAAGCAAGTGGAATGTGATGAGGAAAATGTGGAAGCTTTATGGGTAAATATCTGCTTGAGGGAAAAGAAGGGAAATCAACTGTTCTTTGGGATATGTTATAAACCACCTAATGTTAATATTGACGAGGAACAACAGCTGTTTGAGCAAATTGAGAAAGCTGAAAATCTGGGTAACACTTTAATTATTGGAGATTTTAATTACCTGGACATAAATTGGGACAGAGAGACTAGTAGCTCAGCAACGGAATTAAGTTTTTAAACTTGTTAAATGACACCTTCATGTCACAAGTTTTACAAGTACCAACTAGAAAGGATGCTTGTTTGGACCTGGTTTTAACAAACAACGTTGATTTTTTAACAAACATTCAAGTAGGTGAGCACTTGGGAAATAGTGATCATAATATAGTGTCGTTTGACATAAACTCAAAAAAACAAAAGCACATGGGGTGTACTAAAACATATAATTTTAAAAAGGCCACCTTCTATAAGTTAAAGGACCACTATAGGCACCCAGACCACTTCAGCTTAATGAAGTGGCCTGGGTGCCAGGTCCAGCTAGCATTAACCCTTTTTTCTGTAAACATAGCAGTTTCAGAGAAACTGCTATGTTTACCTATGGGTTAATCCAGCCTCTAGTGGCTGTCTCATTGACAGCCGCTAGAGGGCTTCCGCGCTTCTCACTGTGATTTTCAAAGTGAGAAGACGCCAGCGTCCATAGGAAAGCATTGATAATGCTTTCCTATGGACTGGCTGAATGCGCGTGCGGCTCTTGCCACGCAGGCGCATTCAGTCGGTGACGGAAGAAGAGGGAGGAGAGGAGGAGGAGAGCTCCCCGCCCGGCGCTGGAGAAAGAGGTAAGTTTAACCCCTTCCTCCCCCTAGAGCCCGGCGGGAGTGGGACCCTGAGGGTGGGGTCACCCTCAGGGCACTATAGTGCCAGGAAAATGAGTGTTTTCCTGGCACTATAGGGGTCCTTTAAGGGCAGCTTCACAATAAATTGGCTGGCATAAACTCTTTAATGAAAAGAACACTGAGGATATATGGAACATCTTCCAACAAATATTAGAACGGTACATTTCTCAGTATGTACCATTGGGTAATAAATATAAAAGAAACAAATTAAAACCAATGTGACTTAGTAGAGAAGTAAAACAAGAGATTAAAAATAAGAAAAGGGCATTTAAAGCATTTAAATCGGACAAATCAGATGCATCCTATAAAAGATATAAGGAAGCCAATAATGCGTGCAAAAAGGCGATTAGATTTGCTAAACTTCAAAATGAAAAAATGATAGTAAAGAGAGCAAAACCAACCCCAAAGCATTTTTAAGTACATAAATTCTAAAAAAAAAACAAAAATGAAAGTGTAGGTAGACAAAAAACTGAAACGGGGGTGTTAGTTAATGAAGACCAGGAAAAGGCAGGAATTTTAAATAACTATTTCTCCTCCATATATATTAAGGAAGAACCCATGGCATTAGATGTGCAAATGATTGCTACTAAAAACTTGCCGAATAATTGTAATTGGTTAACTCAAAACAAGGTGCTGCAGCAATTAAAGAAAGTTAATGTAGACAAAGCACCAGGGCCTGATGGTATCCATCCACGAGTACTTAAGGAACTAAGTGTAGAAATAAGTGAACCTATGTTTTTTATCAAGATTCTTTTCTTTCAGGAAGTGTTCTGGAGGATTGAAGGAAGTCAGACGTGGTTCCTCTATTCAAAAAGAGTTCAAAATCCTTACCTGGAAGTTATAGACCTGTGAGCTTCACGTCTGTGGCTGGGAAAATATTTGAAAGGTTGTTAAGGGATAATATTCAAAAATTCCTTGAGAAGAACATGGTTATCAGCAAAAATCAGCATGGTTTTCAGCAAAAATCAGCATGGTTTTATGAATCACAGGTCATGTCAAACTAACTTGATTGCATTCTACGAAGAAGTAAATATAAGTATAGATCAAGGTGTTGCAGTGGATGTGATCTATTTGGATTTTGCCAAGGCACTTGATACAGTTCCACACAATAGATTAGTGTTCAAACTCAATGAAATCGGTCTAGATGAAAATGCTTGTTCTTGGGTAGAACATTGGCTTAAAAATAGAGTACAAAGAGTTGTCATTAATGGTAAATTTTTAAGCTGGACCGAGGTAGCAAGTGGTGTCCATCAGGGTTCTGTTCTGGGATTCTTCTATTTAACATGTTTATAAATGATCTTGAAAAAAGCATTGAAAGTCCTGTTTCAGTGTTTGTAGATGACACAAAACTCTGTAAAATAATACAATGTGAGCAAGATATTACTTTGCTGCAGAGGGAT